CAAAGGAGAGATGGGCCATCACCAACATCTGAGCCACCCTTGAAGGGGTCTCAAGTCAGCCCAGAAGAATAGGGCTGACTCTAGGACTTCTCTCAAGCTGGCTGCAATGTCAGAACAAAAAATGGTGTCACTGCATATAACGCTACTTGCGTGTAGTAATTCTCCATTTATTTCAACCTCAGAAAATGAGTTACTTTTGGGATCACAGTAATGGAGTGGAATGGATTATCTATACAACCAGCCTCATTTTTGTGTTGCCCTTGTTCACCGGTGTACCAGCTTACATACAGTGGCAGTGCGCAGCAATTGCTATATTCTTCTATTGGATGAACTTCTTATTGTATCTGCAGAGGTAAAATCAGCTTGAATCACGTCTACAGCTTTTACATATTCTTTTAAGCTTTTACATATTCTTTTAATATCAAAAGAAACACTACTACTACAAATGGCAATCATCCATTTGTAACTAGCTAATCAATCTTTTCTTAATTGCTTTAAAATGTCAAGAAATATTTTATATCCTGTTAAGGAAGATGATGGTTCTGGAGTTCAGAGTATAGACCAGCATTTCTAAACCTTGGCACCATTGACATTTGGGGCTAAATAACTCTTTGTTGGGGGTCTTGTCTTGTACATTAGAGCATACTCAGTGACATATACCAGTTACCAGTAGCCTCCTCAGCCAGTTTTGACAAACAAACATATCTCAAATCAATCAGTGATCTAAGCAAACCTAGATTAAATGTGGATTGTTTATGGGAAGATAAAGGCTGGCTATTCTTGTATGACCTGTCATTATATAATGAGGTCATTTTCATTGTTCATGCCTCATTTATGACCTCTGGGAAAACTACTTGAAAGGAAATGATGGGTGTGGAGACCCATGAGGGAAAAAATGTCCAAAGTATTTAATTCTAGAGGGAAGAAAGGCTAAACTACCATACCTCCAACAATTACCACATATAGTATTTTGCATTATATTTGCAATAACAGGAGATAAAAGTTATCATTCACATTGTATGAAAGAAGACATTGAAGCTTTGAGTAAATAGCTTGCCCAGGATTTCGCTAGTAAGTGAAGATTCAGGCATGTCCTGTGCTCCCTACCTCCCGACCCCCTTCATCTGTATCCTTATACCATAAGCACAACCTAAGAGCAAGGCCTTGGTGCTTGCCAGAGGGTGTAGCAAGAGGATTCCGGAGAAACCCTGGCATTGTCGTGCCCTCAGATCAGCTTGTTTAATGGTCTTGAAGAAATACTGGATTTCTGTCTGAATTTAGTTTCTGAGATTCGGAAATCCCTTTAAACTTTATAATCTTGTGAGTTCTTTTCTAATATATAGAGTGTTATTGGCATGTGCTTCACATACCATCCATTTTAATTGTTCATTCATATTAAGAAGATTTGTGCATAATCACCACAATCAATTTCAGAACATTTTCCTCTCTTGTACTTCCTGCTGATAGCTCTCATTTCTGCCTGTCCTCCTCATGCCACACTCTCGTCTAGTTACGCTCCCTATAGACCTACCTCTTCTGGATTTCTTATACAGAAAATCATACAAAACAAAACTCGATCACACAGAATCATACAAAGCAAACAGCCAAAATCCCAACAACAATGACTAGACAAAACAGAAAAACTTCTAAGAGAAAGTAGAAAATATCAAACACTGAGTAAGTTGTCTTTGCCAAAGGAAAAGAAAACGCTCACGAACCGAGAACACACTCACATCTATTTCGAAATCGCACAGGGTTGGATGCTGCAGAAAGAAAGGAAGTGGAATAGGGCTGTGAGATGGGGGGAAGATAAAGCACTTGTGATTGGCTGCACTGTAATAGCATGAGTTCATGAAACCCATCCCAAA